TACATACATACATACATACATACATACATACACACACAAACACACACACACACACACACACACACACACACATACACACACTGTGTCAATGAGTAGCGTACTGACAAGCCACCTGTGGGCATAGACACACAGAGAGGAATAACAATTTATTTTTATATAGGGAGTGAAACTCATCAGCAAATCTTTGACTCTTGTTTCCAGGTAACCATTGTTGTACAGCTTACAGGGTATACCAAAAGTCAGTCCTCGCAGACAGTTTATTCTTTGAATTCTATTACATTTTTGAATTGGTAGCCATTTTAAAAAAAAAACATTATCACTCACTTGACGTCAGTTGTGAACATTCCTAAGTGCAGTAACATTTTCTCTGAAGAAATATTAATTATTAAAATTAATAAAGCACATTGCGTTTGATGTTTGGTACTTCCTGTATTTATTTATTTGAGCATTTTTTTGGCAAAATAAATTGCTTTCTTTCAAAGAGAAGGAAATTCAGAATCCCAGAATCTATGTTTTATTTCAGATTGCAAACAAAGTATGACAAAGAATAAGATTTTAAAAAATGGTGGTCTTTATTAAGAAATGGATCATATTTTCTATAAAGAGATCTTTACCAAAGTTGTACAATTCAGCTAGATTGTCAGCCCAAATTTAAAACCAAACTTTGCAGGAACAGCAAGCAGAGAACTGAAAGGGAGTAACTGAGGTTCATCCCCATTGGGACGTGCAATCCTGCTGAATGTTATTTCTTTTTCTGATGGACTTTTAAAAACTTTTCAGGACTGGTGGAAAGACCCCATTTAACTCATAATTGATTTGATAGTTAGCATACATAACCCATCATCCAATACCCATTTAATGACTGATCAGTCCTCTTCAACCCACCTGGAATCTATGATTGCTTTCTTGATTCTTGATTCATTACAGTTTTTCACTTAGAGTTGATTTGCTATTCCTGTGTCATTATACACCTTCTGTCAGGGTTCCAAGTAACACCCCTAACAAAACAGTCTCAACCCAGGCCTGGAAGCCATCTTTTGCATTGTGCCTTCAGGATTGCTGCCTTCTCTGACCTATTGGCTGGATTCAGATAAACATATTTTCAGCCCTTCTTTCGTATTTGATGAATCTGTTTTGTGCCATCATATGTACAAGTAAATTAAACAACCACCTTTTCCTAATTTGGGTGATTTCAGTTATACAATTAATTGTACAACTTAATTGTATAACAATTAAATATATAACTTAATTGTATAACAATTAAATGTAGAACTTAAAAATTGTTACAGACAGACCTCCCTTAACAACCAGTTGTTTAACTACCATTCAAAGTTACGATAGACTTCAAAAAAGCTACTTACCACCTGTCCTTAAAGTTACAACAGCTGCACCCCATCCATCAAAGTCATATTATTGCATTTGGGCACATTTACTACTAGTTGTAGTGTCCCATAGTCATGTGAATCTGATTTACAATCCAAGCAGAAACAGTGGAAAAAATGTCAATTGGATATGTTGGATTTGCTTAACAACCACACAATACACTTAATGACTGAGGTGTCTTGCTTAATGGCTCTTGTAAAAATTGTTATAAAATAAAACATGGTGACCCTCTTAACAACCACAGTGACTTTTGACCCAAATTCCAAGCTCAGTTATGGTAGTTAAGCCAAGGTGCATCTGCTACAAAGTCATATCTAAAGCGTCAATCCATATTCCAGTCCTTTTGCAATAGCACAATTATTATCAAATCAAAATCAAATATTTATTACAGTCAAAGGCCAACATAAAACAATTATTGATACCTAATGACCAATATATTGCACCCTCAATTACAAGGTTATAAATATAAACTACCATGTGCATTTATTCATTATTTTATTTTATATTTTCAAAATATTTTATATTTTCAAAATATTTTATATTTTCGTCTCCCCTATAAGGTGACTACATAACAGGAATTGTCATCTTTTTGTATGTGTGAAGAGCCCAAGTCTCTTTTTTAAAAAAAATGGTCTCCATGGTGATGCAACTTCCCTGCATGTCAGCTAATGAAGAGAATAAATTGAGGCTAAATATCACAAGATGGAAATGTTCAGTGGGAGGGGGATATTATTACAGAAAAGTGATATAAGGGGTTTCTAGATGGGGTTTCACTTCCCCAAAATAACCTAGAAATGCTTCTAAAAATTGATCTCAAGTTTCTCAGAGTGAAGCAACATGTCATGTGAAACATTTGTGTACATCTGTTAGCTTCTATTGTTACCTACAGGAATACGCTCTCTGTGAACCTACATTTGTATCTTATCTAGAAAATTAACTTAGTGTGACATTCAGCAACCAGATTGATCTATGTGAGCCCACCCCACCCCCCAAAAATTACTTTGCACCTATTTAGAAAGCATCACACATATCTGAATGAAATACCTTTAAAGCTTGGCTCCAGGTTACTGAGAAAAGAGTTTGCTCAAGATAATTTTCTCCTAACTCCATTCATTCAGATCCTCTGAAGAAGTTCATCTTCAGATGGGTGGAACTAGACTCAAGCCTTCTCCAGAATTGTCCATCAAATTGAAATAATTAAGCTCCTTGTATGCAGAAAAACAGAGTTGGTAAGGACCTTAGAGGTCTTCTAGTCCAACCCCCTGCTTAAGTAGGGGATGCTAAACAAATCCAGACAAATGGCTGTCCCCTCATTCAATCAATCAGTCAGTCAGTCAATCAGAACCATTCAAAAACATTATGGCTTTGATGTAATATTTAATGTTTATTAACTGTGATAACTGGTAGTTTAAACATTTAATAGGTAAATACAGTTTAATTTGATCCTCTCCTTTATTTTTCTGTGAATCCTTTGAATAAAACTTTTTGACACAGAATTGCTTGCCAAAATATTCTTGTTAAGAGCTAATTATTGTATACAGTTTGTGCTTTTTTTATATGCTTGGCTTTACTTAAGAATTTTCTCTTTATGAACTGTTTTATTTACTACTTATTCTGGCTGCCATCTGGCTGTCTTACTCTGCTCTTTTTGATTTTATTTAACCACCACCAGTTTAAAAGCAGGTAGGCTTAGATAATTAAGGAGAGCAGAGAAGGTTTTCAAAAGTCTCTCCAGAATAGTAAACAGTCCTGCAGAAACATCTCCAGTGACCTTGAATGGAGGTTCCATTTCTTTAACCCAAATCCCTGAGAGGCAGCTGTTTTAGGACCCATCCATGCATTTTAAAATTATGATAAGCAGGTAGATTAATATTGGAGCCAAAATGTTCAAGGTGGATTGCCTAATCAGCTATCTGTTGAAAAATAACTCTACATGGAATTGGCCTTATGAAGGCAAGTTTGTTTTCACTTATTTATTTAATCAGTGTACATGGCGCTTCCAGAAACAGATGTTTCCAGTATTGCATACAGAGTTAGCATAAATGGAAAAACAGCTCCCTAAATTTCATACTGCTACTTGAAATGATCCCTTTGACCCAAACAATAAATCTTTCTTTGTGGTTTGGGATGTCTGGACTGCTATGGTATGAACATATGCAAACGTATCCATCAAAAGTTATAACCAAGTGTTTCATTTATTGATGATGATGATGATTGATGTTATTTAAAGGCAAAAATAAAACCTTGTTAAGATAATCTCTTTTTTTCCCCTTCAGATGGACCGTGTTATTTTTTGTGTATTTTTGGAAGTTGACTACAAAATTTACAAGAAGAAAATGAATGACTTCTTTCCAACAGGTATATCTATTTGTTTATTTGAAAACCAACTCTTGCCCTCCAGATATTGTCTGTATATATACCTACATCATTTAAGTTTTTATAGGTCCTCTAAGTGATTTATCCTTTGACATTTATTCATATATAAAAAACATGCAAAATGAAATAAATTTTATTGTATGATAATTAGACCTGTGCAAATCAACATAGGTTGCTCAGTTTGAATTGGTACCGAAAGAGGGAATTGTTGGATATGATTGTGTGATAAGAAAGTTGAGGCAAAATGATTCGAGCCGTTAGAAATTTAAAATTCACTTGAAAAATGTTTTATCCATGGGTTAAAATGGAAACATGTGACATATCTGCATCTGCTTCTTTATTTTTGGCAGACTACAATAAAAAAAAATAGGAATGGTAGTGTATTTAGAGATCATTAATTACTCCCATATTTAACGGGATACCTTCGAGCACTGCACTACATTTTTAAAGTATTTAACCTGAGTCTTTTTTAAGAGTGAAAAACAGCAAGCAGCATCAAAATTATTCAGCATAGAGCCCAAATTGTTCTGAATCCATGCAAAATGTTTCTCCTTCAGCTTAAAAAAAACCCAAAAGCTTTCAAAAACTATAAGTAGTAAAACATTATGTTTCTGTTGCTTTTCTGGAACATCAAGTTTGGCATCATATTCAAATGTACCCAAGGACATGCTCTTGTGGAGTGCTCCCTCTGATGTTTAAGAGTGACGGGATATCAAAAGGGTTTGGCTTTGATGGTTTTGAAGGAGCTTCAGCCACATTGGCTTGACTGGGATATCAAGCTGGATAGGACACCATGGTAAAGCTGGGTCTATTTGGACAGAAATCAGAAGGATGAGTATTGATTAAAGCTGTAGCATTAGTTTAACTTTGCTATCTTGAGAATATATGGAAAGTTGGCATAGCAAATTTGACCCTTCATGGGAAAGACACTCTTATCATCTGCAGTATTCAGTTGGGTCTAGATTTATGGCCTGCTGGAAATATTCTTATACTAGACAATATAGCAGTTTAGAGTTTAATTGTTAGATCCTTAATATTCTCTGAGCTTCGTTGGTTTCCTGCATTTGTGTCATTGCCAGGCTAGGTAGCATCATCATTGTAAATATTCTCTATTAATTGCTTGATCAAGGCAGCAGAAACAGGATGACACAGTAGTATACAACATCATAACAAATAAGCAAGCTATGAGAAAAGTGGCTGGCCCAGAAAAAGTGGACCAAAACTTTAAAGATTTGTGTGAGAAATTGTTCTTGAAGGATTACCCTTGCACATATGCCTTCATAATTAAGCCATTAGCTTAGGAGTTTATGGACGGCCTTGGAATATTTTAAAATATTCCCCATGGGACATATGGGTTTCTGGAGTCTTAAAAATGGAGTATTTATCTTTAAATCATTCACCAAGGCAAAGGCTTCTTTTTAATCAAACACAACTCTATTTGCCTGCTTAGAGCAGGCAAAAAAAGTTGTATCATTAAAAGATTATATGTTTAGCATGGCACAGCAGTTTTACAACTAATTAACGTAGTTCTGTATCAAGGCTTATAAAATAAATGCTTAACATGCTAATTGGGCCATATGCAAGTGTGAGGTGCTCATTTCAGATACCTTTAGATGCCTTCAGCAGCAGTTTTGTTTGTATTTAACAGGTTTTTTTTCTGTCTCATTTGATATATATTTATGAGCAGCTAACCTGAGTTTATACCACCTTCTATTGCAAATCATAACTTATTTTGGGATAAACAACCATAATATCAGTGCATATATACTCTTGAAATAGAGTTATATAGGTAAAAGGTATTATTCCTAATAATGGGAATATCTGTGCAGTGTCTTACATAATAAGCTTTCTTTCACTTTGCAGAAGTCTGCCCATCTAACAAAGAATTTATTATTCTCACACAATTGATTTTAAGTTGATTTCTTGGCTCTGAATTCCACTGATTCTATCTCAGTAGAAACTAGAATCAAAGTAAAGTTTAGAAATCTTGCTTGGTTTCTATCAGCAGCAAGTTCTCTCTTCCGCTGCCTCAAATTCTTTTATTTCAAGAGCTTTGAACAAATGCTTTTTCTTAGAAACCTTCTATATTTGATTTACTAATACTGTCATCCAAAATACCTAAAACTGTACAAGGGATGTTTCCTTTAGCTTAGTTTTTTTTTCCCCTGTCTCATTTGATACACATTTATGAGCAGCTAATCTGAGATTATACCACCTTCTATCCCAAATCATAACTTATTTTGGGGTAAACAACCATATCAATGCATATACTCTTGAAACAGATTTATATATGTAAAATATCTAATCTTTAGATATTTAATATTTAATATCTAATATCTAATATCTTTGATTTACTAATCAAATATTGAATTTACTAATACTGTCATCCAAAATACCTAAACTGTACAAGGGATGTTTCCTTTAGCATAGATTTCAGTCAGTACATGTAACAAGTGTTGGCCTGGTAACTACAATACTCATTGTTGACACATCAGAGCTGCCCCAGTCATACAGAATTTAAAAGGTTTGAGGTAAGCATGTATTCTGGACTGATATTTTGAGTCCTGAAAGCTGAGATGAACTTCCCTTTGGCAACACTAGTACAGGAATATGATATTCCAGGAATGAGTGGGTAAGTGAGAATTTTATTACAGTCACAGATCAGAGTTACAAATAAATTATATTAAAAATAAAAAATAGACCAGACTAGATGACTAGACTAGATTAGACTAGACTAGACTAGACAAAACAGAATTGGTGGTGGGTTCAGTGGTGGGCAGTCAAGGTATGCCTAAATGTATAGGCAGTATAAGAAAATTTGTCTCTGTTCAAGAGAGCTAAATCATATTGATCTGAGAACATCTGTATGGAAGAATATTTCTCAGGTGTTTTACTAGGTGTTATAAGTCCTGAGAAAGTGAATGAAGCCCATAGTAATGTTAGCTTGCCAACTAGAAGAGCTGTGAGAGGCAGAGAATTTATTAGTGATAAATTGCATTGAATGGCTGGTCAGCATCAAAATGCCAATCATATGATTCAGTCCTTATAGCATTCTCGATATAGACAAATAAAGTTGCAGCATTGAATTACCTGTAATAATGCCAGAGGCTGTTACAAAAAAAAACCCACAGAAACTGTCATGGTTCAGAAATCTATAACATTCTTTGAAATCTCATCTCATCACTCTGCTTCAATGGAGTGATTCAGTTGGTCATCGAATAAAAGCAATTGTTTCAAGCTCTCCGCAAGTCCAGTGGTTGTCAGAATTCACCAGGAATAGCAGTTCTCATATTTTCCTCTGGGCACTTTAGAGCACGGTAGACATATGACATATGATGGTTTTCTAAATTTCCTTCATGGGGAGTCTCTGTGAGTCCACTGACAAATCCATATGTTGGGAATATGAAGGGCCATGTTAAGAAAAACAAGTGAATACTAGAATGAGGAGAAAAGAGCAACAGTAAAAAGAAAAGGAAGAAGTAGTACTATAAATCAGGACAAAGAGAAAGGCTAATTGCAAGAGGAGTTAGAATGGTCAGCAGAAATATGAGGATATATCCCAATTTTGGGGTACCTAGTCAGAGAGAAACACAGGTTCAATCATCCTCTGGGAAGGAAACTCATCTTCTTATGATTCTGAAGACAAGCTTGACGTAATAGAATAGTTTCTGGTTGAAGAAAATCTAGAGATTTGTTTATTTATTAGGTTTATACAGTCAGCCATCTCAAACACATGACTTTGGCAGCTAGCAATATTAAAAATAATAATAAAGAAACATATACAAAATGTAAAACTCATAGCAGCTGGAAAAATAAATAATAAAAGCCACAATAAACCGTTCAACATAATCAAGAAACTGGATCCATCTCACATCCAGGGCTCCAGACCCACTCCTTATGAAAGACCAACAAAGATGTGGCCAATCTAATCTGTAGAGGGATGATATTCCGAAAAGCAGGTTGCCATGACAAAAAGGCTGCCCGCTTGGGCCCTGACAGCCAGCATATCTGGCTGGGATCTGTGGTATGCCCTTCCTGCCAAACCAGAGAGAATGGGTAGAATCAAGGAGCAAGAGACAGTCCCATAAAGCAAGCCATAAAAGGCCTTAAATTAAACTTTGGTTTGCACCCTTTGTCACATCAAAAGATCCAAGCTAAACTAGATAGGAAACAGCCTTCCTGTTTCCTATCCAGCTTGCTCTAAAAGAGTGGAATTAATCTGCGCCTCTAAAAGTAGAATTCTTTCCCTGCCTCCCTTAAAGCCTGAGAAATTATGGAGGATTTCTTCTGAGCCTCTTGTCCTTTCCATTATCCATCTGAGGTCTATGTTATTGGACCATTTCTTGGCAGCATTTCTTTGCCCAGGCTCCCATATCATTCTTATATAATGTTGTAGTCATGCATCTAATCATATGATCAAATAATGATATCCCCCCTTTCACAAGTGTACAAGAAATAACAATTGCAAACACTTTCTTTATAGGGCAGTTTCTATTTTAACTTTCATGAAAGTTCCTTTAGTTGTTTCTCTGATGCAGATGGGAAATTATCTCAGAAGAACAACAGGCTAACTGAAATAACCCTTTTCATTTTGTTGAAAGACAGTAGTAGATATATTTCCTCTTTCTGTTTTCCATCAACAAACTCAGGGTAATATTCCTTTCCTATCCTCTCCCCTGTGTTACTGGAAAGAAGCCAATTCAGATGTTTTCAGTGAACAGCTTAATTGTTCCAGAGGGACACAATCACAGAAGAGGGAGAAAAAATCTGGCCTGCTGTTTTTCAACTGTGATTCATGTGGACTCTGGCTAAACTGATGACTAACATATATTTATTGCATAAAGTATTTCTATATTACTGGTAGCTCCCCCAAGCTTTTGTCAGATGCTCAGAATCTCTCAAAAATCTTTTAAATCCCTCTTTGACACCATAGGAAGGTTATAGACTTCAGAGAGATTACGTATAATTCACCTTGAGCCAGG